TTCCAATAAAGCATAGTTTAATTATAAGGTATATACTTCACAGTAAACTTTTATTTTATAATGTAATATTATATCTTATAAAACTGGTTTTATATAAGGAATGCACCAATGACCAAAAACTTGCAGACTGTGTCATTGCACAGAGGTTGGTGTCAAATGATGATGTAGAAGCGTCTTCATTTGTCTTCTGCATCTTTGATAACCTTGACAGCCTTAACAATCTTGACGATAAAGTGGCTGAATGATCCAAATAGAACTTAAGAGGAAGTGTGATTTTTCTATAAATAACACAACTACAGTGTATATATATGTTGTAAGTGGATACGAAAGCGATTTTTTATTTTAATGAATTACTTTGAACCCTTTTTTTTTTTAGCCTAAATGCTCAAATACAGTATTTACATTCATAAAAAGAGAATGAATTGGTCACTAAATGAAAAGTCAAAATGTAAAAAATAATTAATGCTCGGCACAATCAAACAAAAGTTGACAAATGATTGCAGATAAACCCATACTATATATATATTTAGTTTTGGTCGACTTAATCACAAGTACAGTATTTTGTTCCAAAAAAAATCGTAATGAGACATAAGCGAAAATAAATTCTTGACACACACTATCTAAGGTGTAAATGAACTTATGCACTAATCGAATCACATAACGACTTGAAGTAAAGTTGCGAAATCATAACAATGGAATCTATATTTATCGTGGCTTACCACAAAAATTCAAATATATTTTAATGCCATTCATAATAACGTATGGCAGATAATTTCTTGTTATCTGGCATGATTTGACGGATACATGGGTATTAGCAGGATAATAGCAAAAGCGCGTGGCCGAAGGCCTCGTGCGTTGCAATTATACTGTCGATGTCCATGATTCGTATATCATGCCAGATAACTAGTTTATCTGGCAGGTATGACGGTATACATTTACGGAAGAATTTTATATTAATTCCGCAGATTTTATATTAAAATTAATAAATATTCAATTTCCACTTAAGTTGGTTTAAGATTCAAAATACACTTAATTAGATTATGAGTCTATAGATATCTCGTTTTCACCCACGAACACCAATTTTCTACTTATAGCGGTTTGCAAACCTCTGCAGATCATAATGTCATGTAAAATCACGATAAATCAGCCGATTCTAGTAGATTTTTCGATTCTAAAAGAATTTTAAAGATTCCGAATAACATATCATCGAAAATTATGATCAATAGGGAATTAAAATCTCAGAAATTTTTCCGCTATCATCATCACGAAATCACAAGGTCACACCTTTTTGCAAACCGCCATAATATTAGATATAAAACCATTTATTTTTATACTGGTTCCGGAAATCTATAAATCGTGATGATCAATAAATTAATGTGTTTCGATATACTGCGCCATAAATACTGTATTTTTTTAAATTGCTATAGAAATTTTTTTTTTTAAAAAAAATTTACTATATAGTAACTTTATACACAGAACTGAGCATTACAAAATAATCGGTCAGTTTTTTTTAAAAAAAAATTTTTATATAGAACTATAGTGATTTTAAAGGCTGGTTATCACTGTAGCTTATAGAAGAATTTTTTTCAAAAAAAACTGACCGATAGCTTTATAGAACTCGGTTCAATGTATAAAGTTGTTGGAAGACTTTTTTAACCAATTTTTTTTCTGTAAAAAAAGTTTTAACTATTTAAATAAATATAATATTTCTGGCGCAGTATATTAATTTATTGGTCAATAACGTTTACGAGAAAATGAGCGATAATAAATTTCCGGAATCATATTTCTTTATTACACAATTTTAAACCAGATTTTACTATTTTAAAATGAGGCTAAAAGTCAAATTAACTTAAACAATAATTGTTTCTTTGGTAATATGTTAAAAAAGATACTCATTTAACCATTTCAATAAAGCTCGAAAAAGGTCAAACAGTAATACGACATATAAATTTCCAAAAAGAATTTTTTAAAACGCATACACCCCGCATTTGAGTTCTTTGATATATACGATAGAGGACAAAATCACGTGCATTAAGCATATTGTATTATCTCAAAATCTTTTTTTTTTTTTTTTTTTAAAAAAAAAAACATTTAAAATTCTACGTATACGTAATACCGATATACGTATAATTCAAAAACAATTGTTAAATTGATGACGTTTATAGTTGAACAATGGGGCAAAAAAGTGCGATTCATTGTTGCGGCGCCACTGTATATATATAAAGATTCAAAAAGATACCAAACGTGCATTATTTTCCTAAAGAATTTTTTACATAATATATGCAAATGGATCAGGGTTTTAATTCGTACAGAAAAATACCCATCAAGGAACATTATAAAAAGGATAGAAATTCTTTTGTGTTAATACAAAATACTTAATCTAATAATTTGTATATTAAAAAAAAAAAACAAAAAAAAAAACAAATTAGAAAATTAGAAAAATTATTATTATCCAATAGAAAAAAAAAATAGTAATGGCATATAGAGGAACCGCACAAATGACTGTACCTCCGATGAGGGACGAAGATAGTCCGGGAGAATGGAGGTTTAATCTACTTGGCTGCTTTGACGATAGTGGATTATGTAATAAAAAAATTTGAACAAATGAAATATTAAAAGAATTCTTGTTCATAATTCTGACAATTTTTCATATTATACAACTTTTCTACATTTAATAAGGTGTGACTACGTTTTGCTGTCCATGTGTTACTTATGTAAGTACTATCCCTATATAAAGATTTTTGATAAAAGTTCATTTTCGCAGGCTTTATTCACATGATTTATGATGAATTATTATTAGGGTCGAATTAAAGATAAAACGAATCCTGAATCCGGTTTTTGTTTAAATTGTGTAGTTTGGTGTACAGGTAAGTTATCAATTGGTAATTGGTATGAAGTTAAAATAAGCAACAAATAATAAGATATGGATTTTAAATGTGATAGTGTCACATCTCATTGGGCCATGGTTCATGGGATATAGGAATCGTAGAATTATCAGGCGTATGCGAAACATTCCGGTAAGATCTCTAATTAAATAAGGAGAAAAATAATGTTTAAATAACATCTTTTTATGAATATTAGGGTACCTCATGTGGCGACTGCTGCGTTCATTGCTGTTGTCCGTATTGTGGGTTAGTTGCTTTTTAATTTTATTTAATTTGATATATTTTAATATACTGTATATAATTAATAATGGGCGTAATTTTATCCCTGAAGACTTGTCCAAGAAGCAAGAGAATTCGTGTGACGGTTATTTGTTATTCTATTGTACGATATCTGATATGAATATAATTTGATCCGTGAACCTGATTTGATTCTTTATAGCTAGGATATTATCTCCTTTGCACTTTGTACTTATATTGGATTTTTTTTTTTTTCATACGTTGTAATAAATCTTTGTGACTGTACATTTTATTGGTAGAATTTGAACATTTGAAAATTTAAGCCATTTTTATCTACTGTATATTACGATTACGAGGAAAATCCATTATCCATAAAAAAACAATTTTTTATGAAAATCAAAATCATGTGACATGTTCCGAATTATGAAATTAATTTCTTAATGCCGGCCAAATCCAAAAATTTTCAATAAGTTTTGATTCGACAGTTATCATATTCGGCGGTCAATTTTTGCCAGATGTCCCTGAATTTATGAAAACAGCTGTAATCTACAGAAAAAATCAGCGTCCCTGCTACTGACTAGGGATGCTAACAGCTTGACTCGACTTGTATATTTATTATTATAAAAACCGATTAATCAATAGAGTAGAACGATTGAGTCGTTAGCACCCCTACTACTGACACGGCATTCACATGTATCTTTCTTATCGACAAAGCAATGTTTGGAAATAAAAATGGCCGTTAATGCTGTGTCGGTATACCGTCCCTTTTTTGCATAGTACTATCCAGTGTTATTTTGAAGTAAAATTACGTATTTAGCAACGTAAATGTATTCGTTTAATATTTGAAAAAGACGTAATATCACGTATTAAAGGCCAACGGATTGTACGTCAGGTAAGAACTTGTTCTTAATATAAAGATATGTATAGCAAATATAAATTGAGACAAGAATAGTGTTTTAATACGTATGCAAGAATCTTTACAGGGTTCACATTTGTATCTTATTTAAGTATTTATTGGGAATCGTATATACTTTGAAAAAATTGGATAATTAAAGTCTTGTTTTGTTCAGTCCACACGTGTAAGTAGACTTTATTCGCGTAAGGATTGAGAAACTACAATGCATTTTTCGAATAATATGAACCATTTTCCTTTTTGAAACTTTATGACAACAACACCCTTCGAAGCCTTTGAAGGATTTAGGGATGGTGCGACTTATCAACCAATATGTTCTTGCAAAATCATCTGCTCATAAGGAATCTTCAATTATATCACCCGTTGAGAATCTATTAAATATTAGAGGGTGTGCAAAAGAAAATTTTGCTCGTAAACATAACGCTTTTTTGTTTATTCTCGTTCATTGACTTCAATTTTAATACCGAGGCTTAAAAAAAATTGTAAACTTTTCGTTCATTTCATGATATTGAATGATCCATATTATTACTAATTTTCGTAATTTTTTTTGAAAAAAATATGTAATAAATAATAATTACTATTACTGTATTTGCCTTCTTACAGGTGTATATTTACTGTAAATACGGTTGAAGCTGAAAGTAAGCGCTTTAATATCTTTTATTCCTCTAAAATTTGACCATTTATTTGAATACTATTGACGTGAATTCAGTTGGTAATGACCTTCTACAGTTTTTTCTATTCTAAGCATTATGTATACTAAACGCTACGTAGTAATGCAGTAATGCATTTCTGAATAAGGATTTTTCATGATTTGTGCTTTAGTGAAATATGCTTTAAAGAATCACGCCAAGAACTAAAAAAAAAAAAAAAAAACAAACCGAAAGTAAATTTACAAAGTATTAAAAAAAACATATATAAGTTACAAGTTATATCTCAATCCGAATTTACAGAGCTTTATATATAAAATTAAATCTAAATGTGTAAATTGATTAGACAGCTTCTCGACAATAGCTCATTGTGTTGCATGGCTAAACTTGTGTTGTAAATTTTTAAGAGGTCTCATCCCCAACCATAAAGAGAAGATACTTATATCTTTACAAGTAAAATCTTATGCAAATAAAATTCTCATTAAAAAGTACATTACGTAACCTACCTGCTCATGAAGATAACTCCTCAATTATTTAAGACTTATAAGATATGCACGTACGTAAGGTGTGCTTTCTCTAAAAATACCTAATTTTTTTTTAAAAAAAAAAAAATCCGAGAATGTTCGAATAAATCGATTTTAAATATTAATTATGATTTCATATGAGTGTTGTGAATATCAAGTTGTCATTGTATCAGACATAACCCTGGAAAATTATGATATTTACATAATTGGATTACACATATCGATATTCTAATCATTCTATAACATGTGGAATTTTGATAAATCGATTGAATATTGACATTAAACAACGGATTAAAGAATCATGTGCTCGTTTTGTAATTAGTCTTGGAGGTTCGGGTTATACAAAAAAGATAGACAGTTTATTATTTAAAATTGGACATCGAAGAAATATGTGAATCCAAATTGTCCTATTCAGGTTTAGTTTTATATCGATATTTCGCGTATCTTTCTAATTTGTATTATCGTACTGAAAGGAATTTTAATATTTTAAATAAAAATTTTAATATCATGTGGTAAATATTTGTTTATCGTTATCAATTGCTTTATTAGACTTTATTAGCGTAATTATTATAAAATATTGATCTTCGAGTCCATAATTTTAGCTCTTAATTGTTTAAAATTTTCTTAATACGTATCGTTTTAGAATACGTTAAATATAAAAATCAAATTTCCGAAAAATTTATTTTGTATTAATTTGGTCCCTTTTATTGTACCTAACCAACCTTCATTTTACGTATACAGTAATATATCGTATTTATGTTACATGTTATCCTGAAACGACTAGAACTTCCATTGTACATATGATTAACACTTTCCAAGTCTTAATTTTGCTAAACTTATAATCTGAAATTTTTTAAAACCATAATTCATAATTTAACTATGTACGGAAGTAGATCCGGTGTTGTCCAATTTTCATACGTATGTACTATGTTTCACATATTATATATGACATTGAGTTATTAATATTATTCTATTAAAATCTAAAACAATATTATAATCTATTTCATTCTATTCATGCAATTAATATATATATTACAATAATAATTTACTTTTTTTTTCTTTTCTTTTCACAAAAATCTAAAACATGCGTTTACTTACGTCTTCTACATCTGGTTCTCCAATTTTAGTTCAACAATGTCACTGGAAAAAATTAAAGAAACTTCATAAACAACTTAAAATTCATATTGAAACTTATAATCAATATCCTGAATTTTTACATAAAATTACAAGTCATAGATATTTTATAAATGATGTTACTGAATTTTTTATATTTGTTTCAAAAATTCGACGTTATCAATCTAAAAATCCTTCATCTTTTACTTCTTCTCAAAATCAATTACTTCAAAAATGTGAATCAATAAAACAAGATATTCAACGTTTAGGAAAAGATCAAAATAAGGAAGGTGAAGCTGTATTAACTATAATCTTAGAAAAAACTGATGCTTATTTAAAATTTGAAGAATTTATGGAATGGTTAGATGAAGTTGAAAAAAAATGGAGTTTAGTTGATAAATGGGGTTTAAATGAAAGTTTTAGAAGATTAGGTGAGAAATGGGTATTAAGAATTGAATTAAAAGATAGAATTTGTGAAATGAGAGATGATTTAATGAATATGATTGCTTTTGGTGACGAGTGTGAAATTGGTGTGAAATGCGTTGTTTTTAAGAAGGAAATTGATATAATGGAAAGGAAACTCAATTCTGTAGTAAAGAAAGGCATTTGATAATGATGTTACAATATATCAGTTATCAATTCTGAAACTTAACGCATTTTTTACATACGTACAGTACGTACATACCAGATACGTACCGGATACGTCGTACGTACGTACAGTACATACCAGATACCTGATACGATTCGATTATAATTAGCGGTAGGGTTACACACTACGTATTAAACTGTAAATTCCGTGTTACTCGAACATTTAAATATATTTATGCTGATTTCTGAAATTTAGTTTACTCCCTTCTCTATACGCTATTATATATATATTCGTTACTACACATATTTTTATTATAATTGTTTTGGAAAATTAAAAAAAATAAAATAAAATTAAAAAATTTATTTTTTATATCTTTCAACAAAAAAATGACTCATTCAACAACTCAACTAAATGATGATGATGGTCCGTTACTTTATTTACTAATCTTTTTCATGGTACTCATATTTTTTAGTGGTATTTGTTGGATGTTTTGTTGCGGCACTTGTGTTGGTAGGGATTTATTAAAGTTTTGTTGCAGAACTACTTGGTTTTTACCTAAAAATAGACGTAATAAACGAAAAAAGAATCGATCTAGATCAGGTGGGATAAAAAGAGGTAGCAGTTCTAAACATGATAATGTTCCTTTGGATGAAGAAGAATGGGAAATGTTGGAAGATGGTGAACTTTTTAGAGATGCAGATGTTTAACAATTTTGGTGAAGAGAATTGAACAATTATATTTAAAAAAAAAAATAGCGCATGAATTTTCCTTTTCTTTTCCTAATATCAGTAATGAGTTCTTTTAATGTACATTCAATTTACTCAGTTTTTAACAGGCAATATGAATGAAACTACTGTATTATAATTTATTTCCATATATAATATATTGGAATATTTAAATAATTTATGAAGTGTAACACTTATCGAGACGTTATTTCACTCCTTTGGGAATTATGTGTTACAATGTTCAAAGATCTAAAACCACGTTATACATTATATGCGATAAAAAAAAAAAAAGCAGGAAATAGTTGGGTTGTCATTATAACGATAACAGATAACAATAAAAATTTAAATCAATTTTAAAGCTCATCTGATATGCTATTTCTCCAAATAGCTTAAAAATAGTTGATGTTTGGAATATACAGTACTCTAATTCTAATGCTAACAATTGGGGGCAATTGGGAAATTATTGGCATTTCTAGTGATATATAGTTTAGCATAGTATACTTTAATTCTGTAATTCTGATTGTCATGTATCGTTATATCTTCTATACTATATATTAAAATTTTAAGCGTCTGTCCGTCCGTTTAAAACAACCTGTTTGGTTGATTCTGTTTTAGGACCTGTGAATCTGGGTTGAGAATTTTAAGAATGGTGTTAACGTTAAAGCCAATTAGGATTAAATGACTAGATACGATTAAGCAATTAATTGTTAAAAATCTTTTCAAAAAATTTTAAAATAAAAAAAAGGAAATTTCTAATTTACACCACAGGTGATAATCACCTGTAGCCAATTTGCCAATCAAAATTTAAGATCAGGTGTAACATGTAAATCAATTTTGTTTATATCTCAAAATTTTGTCTACAAAACCATCTTTGAAGCTCTAATAAAAAAAATTCTTTGCCAAATTTTACTATATAAAACACTCTAACCTAACCTTAACTAACTCTAACCTTACCCTAATCTTAAAGAGGCTAATTTTTTTTTTTTTTTTTTATTTTGCCAAATTGCTGTGATAGGTGAACTTTATTAGAAGTAATGTTAAATGTTATTACATTTTATATTGTTACATGCTGCAGTACATTTCTAGATCTATGAGAGTACATCAAGCCACACGTGCACTTTTTGAGTGTCTATTTAAGTAGTCCGCCCAAAGGTTCTACACTAGATATCGTATCTATAACCCAACTAGGGGGTTACCCATTTAAATTCTCTGATATCCCCAGTCCTGCACTGCTCTGTTTGGTTCAAACCGTCTCACCTTGTGCTGCACAAAGGCCACCCAGACTGGCATTTCCCTACTAACTTTATCTCTTTATAGATAAACTCTTCGAAACTAATCAACCAGTATTTACTCAAGGAAGGGCGCAGTAGATACCCCTCTAAATCCTTTTATGTCCTACACATTTCTGGATTTGGTTCAGAGATACTGTGCTACAGCTTTACCTGTATACTAGCGAGCCCGGTTACCCAAGCTGTATATATCCTCTACCCTTGTAAGGTTTATTTCTACCCCAGTACCCACATTTGAACTTTCTATCTTTTTCGGATTCTTTTCTAGTCTCTCTCTTGTTTCCAGCTAGCAACCTGGAAAGGTTGGTCTGCCCAGGCTTTAGGTGCCTTACGGTCTCCCTTCTCTTGGTACATGCTTCCAAAGCACATGTCCTTTTCTTCCGGTTGGCGACCTGGCGGTTCGGCTAGTGTCCCCCACTTAAGGACCTGGTCGCTCAGTTCTCTAGTCTCAGTTTCTAGTTCCAAATTTAGTCTTCCTGTAGCACCGTCGAAGATTGCTGCTACTCCCAACTCGGGACTTGCCAAATAGGTTTTCGGTAATTCCGGTTTTCTAGATTTATTACGCTGAAGCTCCCATTCAAGATGATGTGACCAAGATTGCAGATATCTGGATCCAACCGATAATCTTAACGTTAACCGATATAGATCTAGTTTTTTCAAAATCGTCATCCATGGGATTTGAACTTTAGACCTGCCGTTTGGAGGTGCGACAACTCCACCACTTCACTAAGTTGCCACACCCTATTAACACTATTATTATACCTACTCTAAAATACAGAATCTATAATATTATTTTTAGCCAATCAGCTTGCAACAAAATTTTCAGACAATATATTAATCTCATCAAACACAAAGCTAAACTTTGCTTTACTATTCCAACTAGCATCCTTTTTTACCTACAGATTTACAATATCAAAAATATCTGGGATATCCAACTCCAACACCATATCTCTAACTTTACTAAATAGCTTAACAATGAAACTCTTCTTGGTATATCTACTCGAATTCATATTCAACAACTCCAACTTAATCTCTGGTCCTCTACTAGCATCTTGTTCTATTCTAATCTCCTTATTAATAGCCCTAATAGACTTACTACTAACTTTAAAATTATACAACTTTTTAAATTTTTAAACTAAACAATTTATCTCAACCCTAATATATCTATACTATTTACAATTCAAGAGAGATTCATTACTCTTAAATCTATTCTGATATCACATTCTAACTATGCTACTTTTAAATAACAATTAAGGTATCATCATATCCTTTTTCTTAACCAACTAACTACTACTGATAATTTCTGTCTTCTTGACTAAAAATATATCTCTCCAAGACTTAACAAGATACCTAAAGACAAAACTCCACAATAGTTTAAACTGCTTGAAAATTCTATTTTAAGCTTGCCTCACAATTATGCTATCTTCTCTCAAATAAATTTGCCAATAGCTAACTATTACAGTTACAATACTGGCCTCTTTTCAAAGCATTCTAAGTCCTAACTTCTTACAATACTTAACAACCAAGCTATTATTGGCAAAGCTCATTGCTAATCAACAAACTCTGGTCTTATACTCATCAACCACTGGCAATATAATATTACAACTAACTCTATACTATTATATCTAGTATCTTATATTATATCTAAGCCATGCTTTAACTGTTCTCTTAATTCTAATCTCAATAACAAATATACTTATTCTTATTCTAACTAGTCAGGCTGCTAAGTTTCTAGACAAATTCTACTCAGACAAATCAATTAACTTCAATGCAAACCTTCTTGATCTTATTTATTCAATCAAACAACTTGAAGTTATCTTCATCTCTGCTTCTCCTAACTTTATTATACAAATCTCACAAATCCTACTTCTTTTTTATAACAATGATGCTTCTAATACCCTTCAACAAATTGCTAATAATAATTAATTCTCTACTAATCTTATATTTTATACTAATAGATTTGTTATCCAATCTGAAAATCTTTACTGCTTTATAGGAATTGGTTGGCTACAAGTTGATAACCACAATATTTTCTATACTTTTCAAATACAAATTTTACTGTGGTCATACTCTTTTAAGACTAAGCTATTTGCAATTTTGTCAGCTATATATACTGTATCAAAAAACTGTAATATTTAAATCTTTACAGACTTCTAATTTGTTATATTTAAATATGATAACTTAATCCAACAAACAAATAGCCCCAACCTTTTAAATATGCCATACTGGTCTTTATAGAACACACATCTCAATTTTATAAAATCTTATAATTTCAAAATTATCTTTTATAAAGTTAAAACACACTACAACAACATACTTAATAACAAAGCTAATGAATTAGCTCACAACTATCTCAATTCACCCTTTTATATTTAATTCTCACAATATCTATAATCCTCAATATACTCTTTATTTTGAAGATTTCTCTCTTAAACTCCCAGTACATTGCAGTATTCAAACTATATGCTATGCAAAGATCTTTGCTCTTTGGTCATCACAAAACTGCTTCCAATCATGGATACAAATTTCTCAATATATAAACTAGAATACAACCTGGCCTTATCTCAATAATAACCAAAAAGTTTCTAATTTTGCTCATAACTTTTAGTTCTTCACTCTTAAAATATTCAGAATTAAACTTCTTACTAATGAACTTTCTACATCTCATATATTGCATAAAAGAAACCCTTTTTATTCAAACACTTGCCATATCTGCCAACAAACAAGTACTTCATTACACTAAACTTTGTATCTGTCTTCTAACCAACTTAATACACTTATTAAAAACTTTTTACAATACACTCTAACTGCTAATAAGCTTCAAGTCTCTCTATCCCAAATTAATATTCTATATACCAAAATTGTCAACCTTGATAGCTTGCTAATATACCACTTCTCCAATAAACTTTCTATATTCTTTACACTTTTTGGTCTGGTCCCTTTTGATATTAGATATACAATAAGTGACTTTACTACTTCTAACCAAACAGCTAGTATAATTTGTATA